AAAGGCTTAAGGACAGAAATTATTTTATTGAAAGGTTATTGTAGAACTAAGCCTTACAGAATAAGGTATGTGTTTGGTAATATTTTCTATCACCCTTCTTCCTACCCAACATAACTGAGGAATTTACCCACAGATAGAAATAGCTCAAGAGTCATAAACCACTGGAATTGAGTTCTGGTTCTGCCATTTATTCTCTATATAATTTTTTACAAGTTATTTAGGCTTTGGGGATATTTGTAAAATGGAGTTAATTAGCTCTCCACACAGTGATATGAGTCAAAAGATAAAGATTTATGAAAATGATTTGAAAACTATAAGGCACAATACAAAAGGCTACAGGGATTATTCAGGAAATGGAATAACTATTACACAGATTTTATGACAAGTTGTTTAACCATATATGTAGTAAAAGAAATTTCTATCCTTTCTTATAACATTAGAAATATAATTTTAAAGGTTATATGTGTCAATAATTATATTAAAAGTAAAATGTTAAGAAGACTTCAAAGAAAATTATGCCTTGAAAATTGTGTGAGAAGTGTTGTCTTCTCATGCTGATGAAAAATATTTATGTTTTGGAAAAATTTGTGCTTCAAAACCGTCTTCAAATCCATGAGCAAACACACTTGGCATAAGATGATACTGTGTTTTTGTGGAAAACCCAGATAACGTTTGGAATGGTGCCAAATGCAAGTCAAACAACAGTGAGAGTAAAAATGATAGAGACAAAGAAGCCCTTAACAAAACTTACTATCTTTCCTCCTTCTCCTGTTTGATAACCAGGTTTCATCATCTTTTCTGTCAAAGACTACCTTACACTTTAAGTTAAAAAGTCAGATTATGTTATGTATCTTCTGCTTTTGAAGCCAGGAAACTTTTTAGTATATTTATTATAAAATATATAATACAGTGGCTAAAATTAGCACATCAGCATTTGAAGGTTTAATTTTCAGATATCTAGATCATTTGTTTATCCACAATGACTTATTTACCAAAGATTAACAGCTGGAATTTTACTTGGCATAGTACTACTATACATGTTGTTAAAACTGCTGGGAAAGATGTAGAAGTTTTAAATATGATTCCTAACCTTCAGAAGTTTATTTCATTGGAAAAATAAGTCTAACAATTATGAAACAATTAAATAGTAGTATCACTGGTATATGAGTAAATATCAGCATAAATAGCACGCACAAAGACTAAAATAATTCAAAGGAGGAGAGAAAGATTACGTGCTGGAATGATCAGGGAAATCATGTAGAAATCTTATTTTAAAGGGGTCTTTAAGTGCTTGGAGAGGGGAAAAGGAAGGAGAGACATTTACAGAAGGGAAAAACCATGTGTGAAGATTCCCAGGTAGAAAAGAATATGGGTAACTCAAAGAACAATGAGAAGTATAGTAATGAATTCTAGAAAATAAAGTTAGAAAAGTCTGTGGATCCACTGTACAGAACCTTAGAATCTTAAGCAAAGAAGTATAAAACTGATTTTGTGATTGACAGCCAATCGATAATTTTGAGCAAAGGAGTGGCATTATCATATGGTACCTGAGAAGGAATCATCTAGCAGTGGTACTCACAAAATGCAACATGGAAATAAAAATTTTCTGGTGGCTACCACTTGTCATGCTCTGGGCTAGGCACTTCATATATTATAATATTTATTTTCACAACAACCCTACAAGATAGTTATTATCTTTCTCTCTTACAGATGAGGAAATTATAACACACAGAAGTACCCAAACCTAAATATTTTCAAACAGGTAACTTAAACGTGTGATATGTCTAGTTGAGACGATAGGGAACTGTATAATGGTTCAGCTGCCATGGAAAACAGTTTGGTGATTTCTTAAAAAAAGCTAAACACAGAGTTACCAAATGATCCCAAAATTACCCTCCAAGGTATACATCCAAAAAAATCTGCAAACAGGTTCTCAAACAAGTATATGTACATACATATTCATAGTAAACCTATTCACAATAACCAAAAGGTGGAAATAGCCCAAATTTTCATAAATGGATAAATGGATAAACATATTATGTGTGTATACACACACACATACACACAGACAGACACATACACACACAGGAATATTATTGTACCATTAAAAAGCTATGAAGTTCTTTTTTATCTCAACCATTTATCCATTTATCTCAACCGTGGGACTAGGCTGGATTCTAACTGCAAAACTTAATAGACTGGGCTCAAGTTCTTCTCATCCCCCCTTCATTTATTTACTTATTTCTAATAATACAATGAACACCTTGAATTTATCACCAAAACAGAGAAACAGAACCTTGAAAATAAGTTCTGCATTTGTCTATGTACTCCTCCCCTATCCATCCATCTGCCTCCCTCCTCCAAGGCCACAAATGCTCATTAAAAACAATATTGGATGCTTTTCAAAAAGGTATAATACGTTGCATCATATTATAAAGCAATATATTCATGGAACTGGCATCAAAAATCAAATAAATATGATAAATCTGATAAAATGATTACTTACCCAGTGGCAACGAAAAATAGCACACTGCTTTTGTACAACAACTAAGCAAAAATGTATAAAAAGTCATTCTAAATATTAAACCCTCTAACCTCATAAACTCATTTCTATAGTAATCAATCCCAAGAAAATAATCTAAAATATATATAACACAATGTGTAAGAAGATGTTCCTTACAGTGTTATTGGTAAGAGAGAAAAGCTGGAGATAATATAAATGTTTGATAAAAAGAAAATGATTAAATAAATAATTCTACATTTAGCTAACGTCCGTTCTTTGTTTACACAGGCTAAAATAAGTATTTTAATTTGAAAATTGTCATAATTTAGACTGTTTTCCAAATTCACAGAATCTAACTCTTTATCCTACACTAACACAATTTAGAATGTTAGATTTAAAAAATCAGAGGTGACAACTGGGACAGATATAAACACTGTGAGGTCTGGACTTTGAGATCTTTTTATAATGTGTTTCAAAATCATATTAAAAGATTTTTTAAAAACCCGTACAAAACTATGAAATAAAATTTATCATAATTGTATCAATGGAAACAAATATTTTCTGGGCTACACAACATAAATATTTTCCTTTAAAGCAAGAATTTGTCAATATTCAAATTATAAACTAAAAATATTCTTTCAAAGCTAAATGCCAAGCTAAATGCCATTGAAGAATGAACGTATTTTATATAAATGATACAAAGTCATATTAATTAGCTTTATCCCATACCACATTTATTTGAGAGTCAAACATGAAAAAAATGCTAGCAAGCAAAATTTCACAAATAATGTTTTCTATGTAATTAAAGCTAAAATGAACAAGATAAAGACATAAAATAGAAGTGATTTTTAAAGTAATATAGGAAGGGTAAAAAGACTAAGCATCAAAATTAAAACATTTTTATACCTATATGGTTAAGTTACTTCATTAATAAATTCAGGAAGCTAGTATATCACTCATACTGGTGTTTCTAGCCTTTAGACTGTGGACACTTTAAATGGGAATACAAAGAGCTAATGCAAGAGATTCTTCAATCAATATGCACATATGTATTTTCTTGATTAATGAATACTAAAAATATAGCTACTATCATTTGGTAGTTGGAAATTATTTTTCATGTTAAAACAGAATTCTCATTTTTCCAGCTGAAAAGTATGAGCTCTTTAAAAAATCAATAATTTCAAGAAATATGTACAGTAGTCCCTCCTCATCTGCAACTGCAGTTTCACTTTCTTCGGTTTCAGTTACGTATGATCAACTGTGGTCTAAACTTAGGAGAATATAATACAAGATATTTTAAAAGAGAGAGACCACATTCACATAACTTTTATTATAGTATATTGTTATAAGTGTTCTATTTTATTTTGTTGCTGTTAATCTCTTAGTGTGCCTAATTAAAAAATTAAACTTTATCATAGGTATATATGTATGGGGAAAAACACAGTATATACATATATAGGGTTCAGTACCATCTGTGGTTTCATGCATCTACTGGGGGCCTTGTAACATTTCCACTCTGTAAAAGTGGGGACTACTGGACTAATCTTGGCAACTTATTATTTGAATAAGTTACACACATATTATTTGAATAAGTTTTTTTTTTATTTCAGCATATTACAGGGCTACAAATGTTTAGGTTACATATATTGCTTTTGCCCCACCCAAGTCAGAGCTTCAAGTGTGTCCATCCTCCTGACAGGGCTCACTGCACCCATTAGGTGTGAATTTTCCCATGCCCTCCCATCTGTCCAACACCCAGTGAATGTTACTACTATATCTGCACATACGCTTTTGAAGTGCACATTAAGATTCAAAGTAAAGTAGCAGTATTTAGAAAATATAACATGGATTTTATACATTTTTTAAAGGGTAAAGTATTTAATGTCTATATGATACTGGGCATGATATCTAAAATCAAAGTCATAGCATTATTGTACCACTGAGAAACAAAACAAATAGCATTTTAAGTTTAGATGATATCCAGAATACGTAGTCCAATGAGTTGCTTCAATGTAATTAGAGGAATTATTAAATGACATTGACATCATTTCTTTTAGAACAATGAAAATCTCAACCTAAACAATATACCTTATAGAAAAATTAAAATAGATCATAGTCTTAAATGTAAAATGTAACACCATAAAACTTTCAGAGGAAAATGTTAGAAAAAATCATGATCTGGGGTTAGTCAAAGAATTCTTAAACATGCCCCCAAAAGCACAGTACACAAAAGAGAATAATAATAATAAATTGAACTTCATCAAAATGGAAAATTAAAATTGAAGCCAATTTCATAAATGAAAAGGTAAAGAATGAACTTTTAGCATATTTACCAATTTACTATAGCAATAAATGACATACATATAATCTAGATCTCATACACTTTGAGTATATATAAAAATAAGAGTTTTCTCTTTGACTCATCTGTAAACATGCTAACAGCCTAGGATATATTTATTACATTTTCATTTCATAAAAGTTAATTATTAACACTTACCAGCAGCTTCAAGAACAAGCTGTAGTCTGGCTTTGGCCTGTTCAGCTGGTGGCTAAAAAAATTTAAAAAATCAACCACAGAAGACAGTTACAGATCAGTTTTAATACATAGAACTTTACATTAATGCATACTTATGCAAGTATCAGAAAATTTAGACAGCTTTATCATAATCAATATTAATATCCAGCCATATCTTGCCTCTTGTACATATGATGCAAGAATGATGTTCTTTCAGTTTTTTTCCTAGAAGAAGATTTGTTTACTACCCAACATTGTACCAATCAGCAATAACATAAATAACTGCAATTTAACATGAGGCAAAACACACACATTTAACAACATATTCTCAAGTTGTGCTATTTCTTTCCATGTGGAAACATGCAAGTGACCTGTTAGAATTTAAATATTAATAGCAACTTGAAGTTCATAGTTGAGGCAAGTCAGACCCTAAAACCAAATATTTTCTGCTTTCCTAACTGGATTAGAAAGGAGCAATTGTGATGAAGAGAGGATACAATGTGATTTATATGCTTTCAGTTCCTACTAACTGCCCTAAAATTGTTCTTTTCAGTGAGCCTTGATTTAATACAGTTGACTATGTTGAAACTAAACTACCTCCCTACAGTAACTTCATTCTGAGATTTTTGAATAACATATTGATAGTATCTAAACTCTAACATAGGTTATTATCAAAGTTATGACTTTCATGAAAGGTCTGTTAAAGATCTGTTAAAAACTCTTCTTAATACTTAAGACTTGACTTTACTACATTTATAAAGATGTCAGCAATAAACTAAATAAAATAGGTAAATAAACTAAATTATTCCATTTTTATGTATGAAAACCATCATTTTGGAATTAATTTATGTGATACCTTAGAATATTTTGCTATTTGTAAAAAAACCAGCTTGAATGAAAAGAATTAAATAATTGCATACAGAAAGAAGATGCTATACTCAGAAAAGTTTAAGAATTCAAATGGTTCTTCTGAAAAACCTGTAAGAAACAAGATGGAGGAGTGGTAAATGTGACAAATGAGAAGACAGGAAAAGTCTTTTATATCATAGAACAGGGATTAATAAACTACAGCCCTAGACCAACAACCCAGTTTTTTAAGTAAGTTTTATTGGAATGCAGCCATACCATTTGTTTACATATCGTCTATGGTGGGTTTTGTGCTCAACTCAAAAACAGGAGTTGAGTATTTGTAGCAGGAACCTTATGACCAGAAAAGCCTAAAATATCTAACATCTGGACCTATAAGGACAAATTTGCCAACTCCTGCCATAGAAGATGGAAAGGCTTAGAAGAATTTTAAACAGAGAGGGGATGTGATCAGATCTACACTTTGATATATCATTCTAGCAATATGTTTGAGGATGAATTAAAAAGAATGTTACTAGAGGCAAGGAGCTCAGTTAGGTGGCAATTAAAGAACTCCAGGTGAGACGATGAGGGCCTGAGCCGAACCAGTAGCAAAAAGGTAGAACAGGAAGAATGAGATTTGAGAAATTGGTAAAATGAAAGGACTGATTGGAAATGAGAGAAGAAGGAGTTGACAAACAAAAAAAGAGTACTTTATGTCATATGTTTACAGGGAAAATGTATGTAAGCATGCTTTACAAAGTTATAAAGTATTGGAAATATGTGCCATCAAATTAAAATATCACAGCAAAATATCAATAGAAGACTATGATATCTACTGAATATAATCTAACAGGCATAAACTAAAATGCCTACAGGCACCAAGCAGTTAACACAAACATTTATGACAATAAATGGCAAATGACACTTGACATTAGCATCAGGGAGCACAGAGAGTGGAGAACTGTGGAGCACATGCGCGACTGAAAGGAAGCAGCTGTACTCAAATACCAACTGATTGCTGTTACGCAGAAATGAAGGGCCACAGTCATGAAATCTGTTAATTTTTCACGAGTATTAAAGTTGCCATGAAAAACAATACAGAACTGTGTGGAACAAACACATAACTTCTATAGGTCAGGTTCAACTCCAAAGTAGTTTGTAATTTCTGCCACACACAGTAGAAACATGATACTTCGTGCAATATAACATAACTAGAATGGCAAGGAAATGATATTCTGACTAGCAGGTCCTAAGCAAGCTAAGAATTTTGAAGCATACATTTCAGAGTGTCCTTGTAAGCAGTTTCCTTTGATAGAAAAATCTTAGACACTTTATTGGTTAAGATATTTCATGGGAGTGAGTTTTTTGTATTCATAAGAAAAGATTTTTTTAACAATTAAAAAATATTTAGGACATAGAAAAAGTATACAGAAGAATGTGTACCTAACATCCAATAAAACATTAACAGTATTGTTAAAGTCTTCTACCCCATGAAATCTCCCTCCATAGCAGCCCTCTTCCTCCTATCATTTATAAACGCTATCTTCAAAATATGGTGATTACCATTCCTAAGGAAAGGTTCTTACGATAAAAACATCTGCTAAAATTTATTTATTTTTCACTTATTACTCCAACAATCTCTAATATAGGACTCATATTTCAAAGATAAAGAAAACCAGGGAATAAGAACAGTTTAGTAATTTGCATTTACTAGTAAATGATGGAGTAAAATTAAGACTCTGACTCTAAATCTCAGGATCCTTCTAAATAAATCACTAGGATACTCATGAAGTCAAAGCAATTAATTTAAATAGATATAAATGCATAAGAATAGGGTTTTGATTCTGTTTTAAAAAATATGTCTACAATAACACAACTGATCCAATAAATGAATATGATTCCATTCTAAATACATTTGTTTATGCAGATATAACTTGCTAAATTTTATTTATGAAATACAGGGGTGAACTCTAACTATGGGGACAAATGTATTGTTAGATTGACCAGACATTTAAAAGTAATCTGTATTTTATAAATATTTTTACTTTGCTCAGATTCATTGCTCAATCATTTTTCTTGGACAGGGTATGCAGATGAAAATGTTCTCTCACTTTTTGTCCATCTGCAAATATGTTTTTTTTTTTTACTGTGACTGGTGAATAAGGTGAATGGATATGGAATTCTTGGGCTGCAGTCTTTTATTTCAGTCACCTGCCCCTCAAATCCTTCCCAAGGGCTTTGTTTCTAGGCTTGAGTTTGTCTCAGAAGAGGAAAAGCATCACAACAGGCTGCTTGGCTGAAATCCTCTGTGTCCCACCTGCGTATCTGCATCAGTAGCTGCTTGGCTCAGAAAAAGTAGCTCAGCTGAAAAGGGGAATGGAGAGGAGGCAGTCTGATTTATATTGCCATCATTCTGGCTGCGATTTATAGTTACCTTTTAAGAAAAGATTAAGGGGAAAGAAGAAACTGAATATAGAGTTAAAAAATTTTTTACAAGAATCCATATTTAGTTATGCATCATCACACTACCCGGCTTAGAATGAGAATACTGTTGGGACTTGAATGCCAACATTTTTAATGTTTTAAATATTTTAGCATGTATTAGATTCCAGGATCAGTATGAATTCCACGTAAAATTGGTAAATGGTACTCATATTAATCAGAACCAGAAATTATATCTTAATGAATAAACAGAAAATAATACCAAATACAAATGCATGGAATACAGTAATTTTTCAAAGAATTTTTAAACAAGGATGTGCTTAGGAGTACAATGTCACAATTACATTGTATGAAGGAAACTTATGAACCAGAAATTATATCTTAATGAATAAACAGAAAATAATACCAAATACAAATGCATGGAATTACAGTAATTTTTCAAAGAATTTTTAAACAAGGATGTGCTTAGGAGTACAATGTCACAATTACATTGTATGAAGGAAACTTATGGAGAGAAAATTATATTCATTAAAAAAACAATATTGCTACAGGGGGAAGACCATGTGATGACACAGAAAGAAGACAGCCATCTACAAGCCAAGAAGTGAGGCTTTGGAAAGAACCAACCCTGACAACACCTTGATCTTGGACTTCTGGCCTCTAGGGAGTGTGAGAAAATAAACATCTGTTGTTTAAGCAAAACAAAAAAAAACAAACAAACACACTCCAATATTCCTCACATCAACATTAATAGTGCATAATTAAAGAATATCACCAAAATTGAATTATAGAGAATATAAATACAGTTCCCCTAAAAACATAAATGTTAGTATTGACATTAGTAGAAAACTAAGAACAATGTTAACTTTTACTGTAAATCTTTAAAGTCTGTATTAAATTTAAAACTGATTATTGTGCTATGGTATGATAAGCTAAAAAATTAATATAGATACTATACCATAATTATAACTCATTTAAAGAAAACTGTACTGCTGCTAGAAATTCTTATCATATAAGGCTTAAAATTGCTAAAATATTAGCTAAAATTGGAGGACGGGGAGTTGGTATACCATCTTTTTACTGCTATGGATTCTCCAGAATTGCCCTGCTTCTTTCCCTCCCCGGAATAAGCAAGTATATCTACTTAACTCCATTTATAAGTTCTAGGTTTAGAGAAGAGAATCCACTTTCTTAAGGAAAAGAAAAAGCTCCTAAAATTAGACCAAAAGATAGGTTGGTCTCATGATGGCTTGTGGAGATGACCATTCTCAATGTCTAGACTTTTTCCTTTGACTCTGGCTATACTCTCATTTAGTCTCATTCCCTGAGTTCCTTACAAATATTCTGCATGTCTAGAGTCTCAAAACACTGCCAAAACTAACATTCAAAACCAGTACAATCCCTTGAGCAACAACTACATAAAAAGAAAGGAGAAAAAGAAACCTAACCTTATATAAACCAGTTTACACACTAAACTGTTTAAACTATTTGTTCACCTTTCTCACTTTCGTTCACATTCAGCTCCCTGAATCCCTGGCCGCCACTGTGAAAATTCTAGAAGTCGATAAAGCTAAAGCTATTCCATCTGCCAGCAACAGTTTTGAGGTTGTTAAGGACAGAAAAGTAGAAAGTCTGAAAGAAAGATTGTGACTGAGCTAAAGAGAGAACTAAAACTTGGAAACAAAATTAAATTTGCAACATTTCACAAAATCAAAATTAGGATTAGATTATACAGTTTTCAGA